CATGGGGAAGCAGTTGAGAAGCAGTGGTTCTGACCCCACCGATTTCATCATTAGCTCTTGGGAAGGGTGCTGAGGGTGTGACCGCCGGCTGCCTGTCCCGGCACCTAGGGTGGTTTTAATTAAGGAGTGAGTAGATGGGCATTGTTTTCTTTTTACTTGAAATTGTCCAGCCTATGAACATATTCCTCACTGTTAGTCTTGTGCTTTAGGTGTCTTGTTTTCGGTGAATGTTCTTTTTAACAACTTCCATTGGCCGGGCGCCGTGGCTCATGCCTGTAATCCCAGTACTTTGGGAAGCCAAGGCGGGAGGATCACGAGGTCAGGAGATTGAGACCATCCTGGCTAACACGGTGAACCCCCATCTCTACTAAAAATACAAAAAAAAATAGCCGGGCGTGGTGGTGGGCACCTGTAGTCCCAGCTACTTCGGAGGCTGAGACAGGAGAATGGCATGAACTCGGGAAGCGGAGCTTGCAGTGAGCTGAGATCGCACCACTGCACTCCAGCCTGGGCGACAGAGTGAGACTCCGTCTCAACAAACAAAAAAAGACAGCTTCCGTTGCTTCCTGTATTGGTTAGGATATCATATCGTTGTTCTTGATCAACAGTAGGGCCTATTTTCTCTTATTCTGTGCCTCCAAATAAATTGTTCTTTTCCCTGAAATGTCCTTTCCACATCTTCTGGTTAACATGAGGATCCTTTGAGAATGAACGCAGACATAGCTTCATGTGAGACGCCTTCCCCAGCGTGTCCTTCCTCCATCTGTGCCTGGTGTCTCTTCGAGTTCACACCCTACAGCTCTTAGCACGCCTCTTATCACGCTGCAGGAAGTAGTTGCTGTATCTGTCCCTTCTACCACACTGCAAGCTCCATCACCATGAGAACCCCTTCTCATCCTCCTCTTCCCAGCATCTAACATGGAGTGTCTGGTGCAAACGAACACGTGAATAGACGAGCAGTCACACTGGGTCAAATCATTGAAACCATTTCTGTTACAGGGGAAGAATTCTTTTTCCATCCTTATACTTTAACACTTTCAACTAGAATGTCTACTCTTTTATAATAACTTCACTACTCAAGAAATCTCCCGAAGTTCTAGGAGTCAGAAGATTTTGAGGAAGTGAAACAGTATTATGAGAATGACTCCTCCCACCCATTTTTTTTTTTTTGTCTTCCTTGACATTTACATCTTGTATGTGATCAGAAATCTGTAACTCAAATGAACTGTTCATGGTAATGAGCCATTATTAATACAGTCCTGATTGAACACCTTTCTCTAAGAAGGTCACAATGCTTTGCATACATTATCTAGCTTATCTTCAGAACATACCTGAAGTGGGGTGACCATCTATTCAGAATTCACCATGGTCTGACCATCCACAGCTCTGCAAAGTTGATTTTTCCCCTGCTGAGCCCAGGAAAGAACAAAACAAAGTTCAGGTGTGCAGTGGCAGTAGCTGAGTTATTACTGCTGCTGCTTCGCTGAGCCTTCTGCAGAGTCTTAGGACAGCACAAGCCAATTCTCTGAGCAGCTGCACGAATGCTAAGCGTGCAGTCTTGGTGTCATACGAGTCATGCAGCTACAGAGATCAGGTCCTACAGGAGTTAGGGGGAAGGGAAGATTACTTCCCCCTAAGTGGATATCGCAGGTGCCTTCCAACGAGTGTGTGTCTGCCCCCTTCAGTGAGTGAAGCATCCCATTCTTAATCGAAGGCTCCTATGGCCAAGTCCCACATGGGACAGTTTATGGAGAAGCAGTGTGGTTTAGGGGAGGCATCACCAGATTAAGAGTGGAGATATTAGATTTGTGTGATCCCAGCTCTGTCGTTAACCACCTGTGTCTATGCAGTCACTTATTCCCTTCATACCTGTCAGCCGAGAGCACTGACTGCATGACTTCCAGGGTCCTTTACAGCTTTAGAGTACAGGGGTTCTGTTTTTGCTGCTCCCAGATTTCCACCTCCCATCGTCTACACATTTCACAGATGCATCTGAATGCTCACAGTGCTCTATTTGCGCTCCTCTTCTGTTTGTCCCTGTTTTTTATGTGGACGCGTATCAACGCCCATGATGGACTGCACGCTCCCTGCGGGCAGGAGCCATGTTCGTTTCATTTTTGTGTCCCATGCATAATGTAGGTGCACTCACCTCGTCTGTCCCGTATCTTGAACCTGTGAATCTCATCAGACTCTTCTCAGCAGATAAACCTGTACAAGTCTTTCCTGTCTTGAAAGGACAGATGGGTGGCCCGCATCCTCCACTGAGCTTCTTGTTGAACCCCCTTTGCAGGTGATCTCAAAATAGAAGAAGACCTCATTCGCCATATCCGCTGTTATCTTCCTCCTTTCCCCTCCACTTCCCATGACCAGGTGTTCTCTGCCACTCCACAGAACCTACTCTGATAAATCCCCTGAAGAATTTTTTATTGCCAAATCCAAATTCTTTGGCCTCTCACAGTGTTTGCTGTGGCCGGCCACTCCCTCATTCTGGAAACTCCTCTCTTCTCGTGGCTGCCATGGGACCAGTTGCTCCAGCAGCTCCTCCTGCCCCTTGCTCTGCCCTCCTTGGACTCCTCTTTCCTGGTATTCTCTGCAGTTCTGTCCTCGGCTCTCAGCTCTTTGCACCCTTCTTTCCCTCGCTGACAGCTTTGCGCACACCTGTGGCTTCACTGCCACGCTGAGGAACATTCCGTGTGGCCCTGGCCCGTCTCTCGAGCCTGAGCCCCAGGATTACAACTTCTGTCTGCACCCCACAGTCACATCAACCTTAGCATGTCCAGACCTGCGCTCTTCAGCCGCCTCTGAAACTCTTTGCTCGTGTTTTCCCCATTCGGGCAATCATCCCACCGTCACCTGGTTGTACAGACCTGGAGTTCCCCTTCTCCATCATGCCCACGACCAGCCAGTCGCCATGGAGTTCAGCCTCTACCAGTTTTCCCTGGCCTGCGGCAGCAGCCTCTTCACTGTCCTCCCTGCCTGTGTCTCTCTTCTATAGTCCATCCTCCACACTGCAGCCAAAATGGCTTTTCAAGAATTTCGATCTTGTTGCCTTTGTTTCTTCTTCTGTACCTGACCACATACTTTCAGACAAAATTTCAGTTCCTTAGCTTGCAAGACCCTCTGAGAGCTGGGCGTTGCCCACCTTCACAGCCCTTCCCATGGCCCTCCATGCTCACACTGGGAGCTCCCTGTGAGAGGGAACTGTCACCCTCCCGCTTACTGGGTCACTGCAGGGCTGCCCCATGGGTTTCACATGGCAGTCCCCTTTTGCTGCTGGCACGTCCAAGGACTCAGCCCAGATGCCGCCTTGGCTTTCCTCACCAGGCAGGATTAAGTCCCACATCCCTGGACTCCTGTGGGCTCTGTCCTGCCTCTCCCCACGCGCCTGCCAGGGTGCTTACTGGCTGAGGGCTCAGCATCTCTCCCGCCATCCCACCCCCGCCATTCTCCGCCCGCCGTCCCACTCCCGCCACACTGAGCACCTGAAGGGAGGACCTTCTTCACTAGCCTTTGTTCCCGGTGTTTGGCCTAGAGCCTGACAAACAGTAGCTGTTTGCTCCATACTTGTTGGACAACCAGACAGATGCATGCTGGGAGGATCACTTGCTCAAAGACTCTGCCCATCTCCCCCTGGCATGTTACTAGTCCTTCTCTCCATTACTGTAGGATAGAGGTCACATTCCTCAGCCCAACTCATGGCTTTCCACAGGTGACTTGTCCTGCTTTTGAAGAGGCAGCTCCCTTAGCCTCTTTCTTCTCCCTCCTCCTCTGTTCTGAAGACCCGGGCCGGCATTAGGTGCACGTGATCCTGACTGCCTGATAATAATTTCCCATGATGAAAGTAGCAGAGCCAAGTGCCATTTCCCTTTCATTTAAATTAGATAAAACCCAGAGCTGTGGCTTGCAAGCGATGGAAGTCCACTGGGGAAATGAAAGGTTCGGAGAGAATGGGACCCGTTATAATAAAAGCATTTGCACAGCCAGTGATTCCATCCACCCCTGTGGCTTCTGTGTTCCTTGGAGTGCAATGAAATGTAAAGCAGGAGGACCTTTGGAGGTGGTTTGGGGAATGGATTCTAATTGGAAATGGTGGCAGCATTCTGTGCTTGGAGCATGCTCTGCAGACGGGGCAGCGGGTGTGATGGGCACTTTATGAAGAGCCATGGGACCCCCGGGTCTGCTGTAGCTCAGGACCTCGGCCCCACTGTCTCAAGTCCTTTCCACTCCGGTCATGTACTGGACATGATGGGAAGGTGCGTGTCGCCTTCCCTTCCGCCCTCCTCCTCTCCATCCTTCCTTCCATCCTTCCATTCTTCAGTGGTTCTGTGTTCCTATTCTGTATTTGTATTAGCATTTAATAAAAATTATATACTGGCACCGAAGTCAGTCAACTGCTAGCTCTTCAAATTACTCACGAGACCTAAGAAAAACCTATGTGACAAACATAGGCTGGCCAGAAAATCCTGCATGATTTAATTTTATAATAATCTTTATAATGATACAATAACAATAGCTAAGTTATTTTCACATGTCTTAGCCTCTACTTATGAAGCACTTTACGTGTATTTTCTCGTTTAATTCTGACAGCCTTACAATTCAGGTGTTATCTCCATCTCACAGATGAGGAGACCGAAGCTCAGAGAAGTTAAGACACTTGCTTGAGACTGCATAACTGTAATAAACGGCAGAAGCAGAATTGCCTACAACATAGAGGCAGAAACCATATTGAGTGGCAGAACCAGGTTTCAAACTGAGGTCTGACAGCAGAGCCCAAGCTTTTAAATACGTTCTGTGTTACAGGGTCCCGTGACTAAAAAGGGTTTGATTCCTGAACAGAAAACACAGGCTTGCTTTTTAACATAGTTAATAGTACCTGGGAGAAGTCTTGTTATTACTTATGTGCCCTTAAAACAGTATCAGTAATCGAATTGCTTCAGATTTCTGAGAGTATTTTTACAGTTGTTCAATCTGCCTTTACTTTCTCACTTTTGTGTTTTTAGATGCATCATCCCATTCAGATGAAACCTGCAGATAGTGAAAAGTCAAACGGTAGGTGGTAACCAACTGTCTTGTTTAATAATATCTGCTGCTTTAAATTACAAAGTCAGTTGGGGGCGGGAGAAGCTGGCCCGGCTGCTTTTCTCTCTAGAAGGCAGAGAGCTCTGCGCCAGGAGCCTTCCCTGTGACCTGGATGTCTGAAGGAATACACTCTCCACTCTCCTCTCTCCTGTCCCGTTGATCTCTGGCGTAAAGATGTATGTTACAAGCAGGGGCTTTCTGTGTCCTTCTGTTTGGGACTTGTCCTGTATAGGGACCCTGTAGCATTTGGCTCCTGTCTCCTCCAACAAAGCAATACAGGGGCATCTCCTGGAGATCCAGAGGACATCCGCAGGAAGGGAGTTGTCCATGAAGAATTAGGCTATCTTTCTGTGGGTGGGGAGTGGGGTTGGTTTTTGTGTTTTTACCTTTTGCATGTGTTTTTTGGACTTGGAGACTGCCTTATTGTACTCTTCTCTAAATTGCACTGATGCGTTTGCATCCGAATTCAGAGTTCCATCTGCTGATTAAATCAACGTACACTTGGTGCAAAAATCTGCATTTGATGAGGTCCATAAGTAATTGGGTTTTGCCTCTTCGAGACACGAGAGAGTTGATAGCCACATTTCCCTCTTTAAGTTTTTGTTTCATTTCTACGAACCTTCTGTCCCTGTTTTGTTCTTTTAATTTACTGAAATGTATGTTAAAAGAATCTTCTACCATCCTAGACTGGAGAGCGGCTCTGTCCCATAAGACTGACATAATCAGCACTGTTTCCTTCCAACAGGCAGTTTTGCACCTCATTAATTAGTAATCAGGGCAGAAGCCATGCACTTAGAGATCTGCATATCTGCAAATGGAAATTATGATTGGGTTCTAAATCTCTCCACAAGGTATTTTTTGCTAATTGTAGTGCATTCCATTTTCTGGCTTCTCCACAGACTAGAAAGTTTTGAAGAAAATTCCAAGTCATGGCATGGTGCTGCCAGCACCCGGCTTGTCGGAGCTTTCTTCTCTCAGCTCTCAGCAGAACGCAGTGGCCCACACCTGTAGTCGAAGCTGCTCAGGAGGCCGAGGCAGGAGGATCCCTTGAGCCCAGGAGTTCAAGGCCAGCCTAGGCAACATAGATATATAAATAAAGAAAATTTAAAAATAGCTTTTCTCTCCCTAGGAGGGGGCTTTGGTGCTTTAACTACTGTCGTCTCCTCAGCCCTGCACTTTTTAGGGTTAATTCTTTTTTTTCTCTACTGCTTTATCACAAACATGACACTTAGCACCAGAAGTTGTCAAATCCGCTGCTGCTCTGTAGCCCCTTGAGCGAGCTGTGCCACTCCTGCAGCCACCAGTTGTTCATTCATCAGTTACCATGCGCCAGGCACATTGCTAGGGGCTGGGGCTGCAGCGCTGAATAGGAAAAGGAAGAATAAAAGACCCCAAGAGACTGTGCCTCAGACCTTGTGGAACTGACATTCAGTCTACTGATTTTAGTATCCAGAAGTCACTGAAACACTGAACCTGAATCTCCACATTTGTAAAAATGGAATTAATGGTAACTGTCTCACCTAAGTTGGCTTCCCCCCAGCCCAAGACTCCAATAAGATGTTTGTAACAGTCTCTGTAATGATTGAATGCTCCTATGAAATGCTGATTCCTGTTTACACCCCGAGGTGGTCTCCTGGCCTCTGCGGGCTCTGCACGGAGCGTGCCGGCCTGGGAAGACGACCACTTCCCCCGGGCGGGCTCCTTTCAGTGCTTGTGCTCCGGAGGCGTGTGCTTGGAGTCTGCCTTCCTTGGTGGGAGACAGGAGGGATGACCCTTGTATTTTGGGGTGAATCCTGTTGGTGCCGGTCATCTCAGAGAGTGTGGCCACCGAGAAATGTCCCCTGCCTTTGGCTCCGTAATACTGTGAACAGTGTCAGGACAAGGACCATGGAGTAAAAGGCTGTGGAAAAGATTTTGTCTCATTTCTGAACCTTTGGTTGTAGTTATAGAAACTTGACAAATTAGAGAGCTGAACTGAAAACACTGGACCTGAAAAATCCCGGTACTGAAACACAAAGGGGTATTTTTCTTTTGCGTTTTCTGCTGTGCAGGTATTCATCTGCCTCAGAGAACCCTTTCTACAGGCAGCTGCCAGGAGTTTGCACAGTGTTTTGTTGCTCTTTCTGTCCAGCGTCCACCCTGGTCCCTGAGAATCATGTTTGCTTTGGGTCTAGAATCACAGCACATAATAAAACTGTCATGGGCACACCCAGTGTTGCATGATCACGGAAGCCAAGGACGACCGGGCACCGTTATTTTAGGATGAGACGGTTATGTGAAAATGCTGGTTTTCAAGCATCAGCCTAGGGTAGCGGTTACGAACTGTTTGGAGAAGCCTGGATTTGACCCCTGACTCCACGCTTGTTGGTTTTGTCCTCGGGCAAGTTATTTAACCTTAGTCAGCATCCGTATCTCTTCAGCTGTGAGAGGGGCTACAGTGGTGTCATCTGAACACTTGTTGTAATGCCCGTCTTACAAGGTTATTTGAGGTTTACATAAGTTAACATCTGTAAAGAGCTCAGCATAGCACCCAGCACATAGTAAGTATCCAGTGTGCTAAGTTCTGCTGAGTTAACACTGTGATTCCACTCACCGAGGCAGCCTTTTCAGTGCATTCTGAGCGGCAGAGGCTGGCCTGTCCAGGCCTGGGCTGTTCATACCGAAGCACAGCTCTGTATGTACAGATGAAAACCCCCAAGCCTTCTAGTTGAGCCAGTTCTCCCTTTGCTTTGTGGATTGACCTTCATTTTCTGAATTTTCAGTAAGAAAAGTCCAAAAATATAAATGTGCTGAAGGCTGCTTTTAAAGGGCTTTTCTTTCTAGAGGCCCAAATGGAACCTCACCTTGCACAGACATGAACAGTTTCAAGGTTCTCTTTGGACCTCACTGAGGAATCAGGAGGAATATGTAGTTTTCTAAAGCGAGTGATAAAAGCTGCAAGCCTTTTCTCATTCCACATGGCATTTTTGACAGGTAAGCATAGCTTCTAAAGCTCAAAGAGCACAAAGATTGCTTTGGCTCCGTTGCTCTAAATAGCTCCTATAGTTTTGAAAGAAGTATAACGAGCTCTAATTGCACTTTTATTGAGTTTGCTGACATTTATGGATAGCACAAAGGGCTCATCACAGTTAGACACTTACTGTCTTCATTATCACTGTGTTCAGATTTCTCAAACTTTGTATTTGCTGAGCAAGAAGGAGCTGCTAATCATGGATTAATTCGTGATGGACAGGTGAACTCCAGAAAAGCAGTCACCCTTGGCGGCTTTTGTCCATCGAGCGATTCTGAGAGAGGAAACCTCTAGGGTGAGCCCCGAAACGTTAGGTTGCGCTCAGATCAGCCCCGCACTTTGGGATTTCACTGAGCAGACTTCCCGAGTCTCCATGGCTTCTTATAACCTGCCCTTTAGTTGGCTGTGATTTAAGCTGCAGCCTCTGGCACACCGATGGAAGCTCGCGGCATTGTGTTTCCTGTCCACGTGCTCCCACGGGGCCAGGTTGTCCAGAAGGAAAATAATCCCACTCTGGAGAAGCAAAAACTCCTGGGGCTGCTAAGAGGAGCACACTGAGGAAACCACCCACCTTTCAACAGAATCCGCCTTTTTTCTTGTTTTTCCGTTGCAGAAAGTCGAATGGTGGGACAGGCAGGGCATTTGAGGAGGTGTGGATTGCACGCACCGTCATAAACAAGCAGAAACGTACTTACTGTCTTTCATTCTCTGTGCCATCCAGCTTTTGCTCCTCTGTTGCTGTGCCCAACGAGGTACCAGCTGTGCAGTACTGAAAGTCACAAGCAGTTGCTGAAGTTAGGCTGGCAGTGAGTGATACAGACAGGAGCTGCTTTCGTTCTGGTTGTGGGTCTCAGAGGCTGGAGCTGTGCTCACTCTGATGTCTTTGCCTCTTGCCACAAGGGGAGTTGTTTGTTGTCTTTACTCTATATACAGAGCGTAAATCCATCCATCCCGCTTTTACCCTCCAACCTCACAATTTGCTGGGGGTCCCTAACGCCTCGAAGCCAGAAGTGTCACTTAAGCCTGCTGTGTGTGTGTCTCTCTCAAGGCCTCCAAAACCTCCAGTGTCCATGTGTCAAGTTCAGAGCTAGCAGGAGTCAAGATAACTAAATATTGTCAGCAGAGGGTGCAGACCTGCAAAGCCTCCATTAAAAATAGGGATCATGGAGTGGCTCCATCCAGTCACTTTCTGATTCACTGGAAGATGAAGAAATAATTTTGAAATTCAAAGTGGAGAGACTCACAGATTTGGAGGCAGTAATTAAATGCCATATGTTAGCACTAACACATTGAAAAGTTGTTAATTAATTCAGGCAGCCCCAAATCCAGGTGCGACTTTGACAGATTGTACACCCGGGTGTTAGCACAGACTTACAATTAGGAATTTTTTTTTTTTTTAATGAAGTTTCTATTCCCCTAACTTAAAAAAGTCACCCCATGTATTTAAAGTATTAACCCATTCTCATCGTATCATGGAAGGTAGACTTCAAATGGCTGCTGGTGTGGAACCCCTTTTGATTCTGTGGTCATCGTTACTAATCGGGGCGGGGGGGACCCCACCTGTCCAGCACTTCATGTGTAAAAGCATTTCCCTGCGTTTATTCAGTGTCTGTCATGGAAAGTGACTTTGCCCCTAGAGGGCAGGGACCTTTTTAAGTGTTTTTGTTTTGTTTTGTTTTTGTTTTTTTAATTCCTTAAAGCACCTAGCAGAATACTGTGAACACAGTACATTTCATTTAAACAACTGACTTTCCTGTAGGGTGAAAAAATAAGTGAGATACTTAGTGCCCATGGATACTCAGGAAAAACTCACCAAGATGGTCATCAAAAGTTGATAAAAAGTTAAGTGAACTCAAAATAACTGTGTTCTTGTAGAATGTTTACAGAGCCGTTAGGGACCCTCAGAATGGGAATTTGGGGGGTGAATTGTATGACTAACTTGTCCCTGGAAAACCAAAAAAAATAACAACTCAGAAGGAAGCTGGGCATGCTCACTATTCCCCATTTTGCCTTTAAAGCAAACACAGCCCAACTGTTGAAACGACAGAGCAACATTGGCTGGTAAGAGATTCCCAAAGCCCAGCACTTCTGTGCACATGCACAAGCGCGCCCACACACCACACACACAGATGGAAGTTAACGTTTTGATAACATAGTGACGGAGGTTTCCATTTTTTTTCTTGGCTAATACTTGCTATTTTTAGAAGTGGGAGTTGTCTTCCTTCTTGCTGCCTGGCCGAGTTGACCCTGAGTGATGGCTAGGAAGTCAGCATTTCTTCATGAGTAGTTTCCATTTTCTTCATATTCGTCTTAGGAAAAAAATCATTTTTAAGCTTACCCAGGAGCTGCATGTTTAATCTACTGTGGCATCCCCCTGAAGCTCAAAACCTACAAATTGTTGTAGCTAAATACCATAATTATTGGTTTACCCGTGAAACCAAGGACTTGGTGGGAATTTTTCATTTGCTTTTGTTTAGAAGAACTAAAACCAGATTGTTCAGGGTAAAAAGAAACGTAACAGGAATTTTATTTTTACTCACAAAAATGCCAGCCATAGTTTGCTGGGGGTAGGAGTCTCGGAGATGAGAGGGAAGGAGTCCTGGTGATATTTCTCCCTATTCTACCCCCTTTCCATCTCATCTCTCTCCTTCCTGTCCGATCTCTCCCCTTCGCATTCACGGGAATGCCACATTTCCACGGGGCCTCCGCCACCAGAATCCTCACATGTTAGCACAGGCAGTGTAGACAGCCTGCAGCAGGTGGTGTGGATGGCCTGCAGGTGAGCTCCTTGCCCAGGGTATCTGGTGTCTCTCTGGCTTCGTTGTTGGGCCTGTGCTGCCCATGACTGACCAGGCTTCACCAGTTCACAGCGGATCCATGCTACTTTGCCTTCTCTGAAGGGAGGAAAAAGAACTTGAATTGGAAGTTTTCCATTGGCGTACAGGAGGTCAGGTCCTCAGCGGTCTCCCTCCCGGGAATTAGATCCCGGGGTGCCTGTTGCCGGTGTCTTCTCTGAGTCTAAACACAAGCAGTGGCTCAGGCCAGCGAATGCTTTCCTTGCTGAGCTCCTTCTCTGCACATGAGGCTGAAGATGGGACATGCCATCCTGAGGTCAGGCTGCTGTCCTCCATCCACCCAAACCAGGTCTCTACTACTCCACACTCCGCACCTTGCCTGGTTAGGACCTCGTTCTCTCCCACCTCCGGTCTCTCCAGACCCTTCGTCCAGCTTGAGTTCCACATCCACCAGCGAGCCTTTCTCAAACACTTGGGTGCACAATTCACAGTTTACAAGTATCGTGGAATTGTGCTTTTCAACTTGTATTCTTTGATGCACTAGAGTTTCTGAGGTGTTGCAGGAGCTGTCAGTGGGGAGAGAGCTGGGTGGAAGGGATTCTGACCCCCCGCTCACCGACCCCGCCTCAGGAACCCCGGTCAGCCCAAGTATGACACGGGCCGCCTTCTCTCCATTTCTGGGAGAGAGGAGCGTTTAAGCCTTCATTCCACATATGACAAAACAGGAGGTCCTCAGAGGTCAGCCTGTTTTCCAAGGACACATATCAAACTAATGGCAGCACTGGACCTAGAACCTTGATCGCCTAATCACGGCCATTGTTCACCCCTTCAAGCCTCCTCTCCTCCTCTGAACTTGGAGGAGACACAGCAGGGGAAGGAATCCTGGGCTGGGAGGGGGACTCCAGGCTGTGGGCCAGGCTGGTCCCTCCCATACTGGACCTTGGGAGATCTTTTGGAGATAGACAGAAGCTCCCTTAGGTCTCTTCCTTCCGCTCTGGGATTCTATGAAGAGGAGCCTTTAGCTCTCTCCTCTAGGCCCTTGAGGGCTGTGCTGGCCCATGGAGCAATCATGTGTGGCTCTTTAATTAAAAGTACGTTTTAGAAAAGCACTTCCTCAATCACACAAGTCCCTTTAAGTGCTCAGCAGCCACACTGTGTCAGCAGCACTGCAGTAGAGGAACCCACCTGTTACCAGTACACCTGCCCCAGCCCCTTTGCAGCATAGATGCATGCTTTAGCATCCCGAAGGAACTGGCTCCAGTAAGTCTGGGATAACTGCTCATTGGTTAAATGAAAATGAGACACTTCCTGTCCGGGGGAGGCATAAAAGAGAAATAAAAGCCAATTAAATAGGAATGACAAAATGATAATGCAGATTCAAAAGAAACATTTATGCACAAGTGACTTAAGGCAGAGCCCTCCTCTAGGCCAGGACATCCTTCAGTCTGGTTGCAGCTGGCTGGATTTTTTTTTTTTTTCCTAAGAAATAGATTGAAATGAAATGATGGAAAAGAAGCAGGACTTTTCCCCATGGGTGTCTGTGATGTCCTTAAAAAAAAAAAAAAAAAAAAAAAAAACTCCATCTTTTTTTTTTTTTTGCTGTTTTAAAACATCTCAAAAAAAAAAAAAAAAAAAAAAGTCCCCTCTCCTAAAAAGGACTCCAAATGCTGTCTTGAAATCAGTTTTAACCTCGCCTTTCAGGCTGAAAGTAGTTCGCATGTCCTGAGCACAAGCATGGAGATTTCGAGGAAAATCTCCCAGGTCCCGTGAGGTACAACGTGTCTTGTCTTCCCCACCGTCAGGTGCCCGGGTTAGAATCTGCGTGTCATCCTCATGATCCCCAAATGCACTTTCATTCCCTGAGAATCTTGCCTTCCGGTGGTTAGCGCAGTATTGTTTCCTTCTTGATCATTTGTGAAGGGCTGGAAGCTCAGGACCGTCCAAGGTGTTTCTCCAGCAGCAGCAGCGCCGTTCTCCTCTCTAGAATCGGCTTCCTGTTGAGCCGTAACTAAGCTGGCTGCTTAGAACTAGGTGCGGGGCCTGGTTGGCACTGCATCACCAATGTCGCAGGAAGGAGGTACTTTCCTAGCTCCCCAGAGCCGTGAGAATCTCTGATCTCTTATTCTTGTCTAGATCAGCAGGGATGAAGCTTTTTGAAACAGAAAAATGTTTTCTTCCCTCGAATGCTTTGTGCAAAGTTTCAGGCGCTGTTTCGCTCCAGCTGCCCCTGTTGTCTTTCCTCTCCTGACCTTTCTCTGTCCCTGTCATTCAGGTTAAAAGAACATCTACAAAAAAACCAGAATGAAATCTGTATCCAAAAGTATTCCCAGGGAATGGTAGTTTTGAACAGTTATACAAGTACTTTGGAATTTTAGCACATCACCGTTAATTTCTGAATCGGAGAAAATAACTTAACAGTATTCCATGTCATATTAAAACATTTTGTTAGTAAGCCCAAGCGCACGGGGGGATGGGTTCAGGAAGCGCCAGGTGGGAGGGAGTGGCAGGGTGGGCACATGGAGGGAGGAGGACGGCTGGACATCTGCAGAGTTGGCCTTGGGACACATGCCTGGTCTCACGTGGCTGGGGCCCGGTTTGATGGGGTAATGAAGCATTGATTACAAGAAAAAAAGATGAAATGGCCTTTGCTCATTCCTTACTTTTATCTCCTAGCTGTGGAAGATAGAAAATTGTTCATAGGAATGGTTTCGAAGAAATGTAATGAAAACGACATCAGGGTGATGTTCTCTCCATTTGGCCAGATAGAAGAATGCCGGATCCTCCGGGGACCCGATGGGCTGAGTCGAGGTGAGTGTGCTGTCTGGAAAGCCTCTCCCCTTCAGTGCTAATTGGAGCTCTGTGTCACAGTCGAGACAGATGTAGGCACCGCACACGGCAAGAGGTCACCCTGTAATACATCCCGTGTGATAAAGTTATCCAACCTGAGCTTTTCACCATAGCTGAAATGATCACCTTTGATTTCTCCCATTCAGAAGGCTTTGGTGCCACCATATTAGCTCAAGTTATCACTGTCAGGTGTGCAGCCAACAGGCCGCCCTACTGCTAGGCATCCTTTTCAATCTCAAACCGAGGTGGATTTGGTGGGGGGAGGTGCAAGAAGGAGAGGTAGAAAATGAGAAAAGATATTTGTTGTGTTCCTCTTAGTCCTCGGGCTTCCTGCCTGTGCCTGAAAGAAAGTATGTTAAGAGTACAGTGACACAAACCAGGAAAAAAGCGCATCAGTGTTCACATGTAGTGCAGAGCAGATAGGGACGTAGGGTAACTGGGCCTGTCTTGGGGTATTAGAGTTTTATTTCAAAGAATAAAACTCCTGGAGTCCTGAGCCAGGGGAACTCTTTAAGTGACAGAAAAGTGACTTGACCCTGAAGAAGATTGTAGGCTCTTCTTTGCCACTGTGATAGAAACAAAAGCTGTAGCTCAGAGCCTTGACAATAAGCCGGTATTTACCAAATAGTTAGAAATCACTGTTGTCTTTCCTGTTTGCCTCTCCCTTGACAATGCTGCACACCTCCTTCCTGAAAACACTCATAAAGGCTGATGCTGGAGGTTGACATTCGTCTGACTGCAGTTCCCTGAATCAGTCCGAGGTGGAAATGTATATATACAATATGTTTTTTCACTTCTTTTTGCTCTGTCGCCAGGCCAGAGTGCAGTGGCGCAATCTCAGCTCACTGCAGCCTCCGCCTTCCAGGTCGAGCTATTTCACTGCCTCAGCCTCCCAAGGAGCTGGGACGACAGGCACACGCCACCACGCCAGGCTAATGTTTGTATTTCAGTAGACACGGGGTTTCACCACGTTGGCCAGGATGGTCTCCATCTCCTGACCTCGTGATCCACCCGCCTCGGCCTCCCAAAGTGCTGGGATTACAGGCATGAGCCACCGCGCCCAGCCTGTTTTTCACTTCTTACAAGAAATCCATATTTTTAGCAACATGGAGAGGTTTTCATTCTCTCATTACTGAAGTTACCAGTGCAGTTTCTGTGGGGCAAATGAGGAACTTGATTTCATTCTCAATCTCTGGCTCTGGGCCAGCACTGGCACCCCAAACCCCATGTTGAAAGAAAAGATTGGCTCATGAGGACGAAAGCACTAGCCTTCACCCTTCTCACTAGTTTAACCTGACTTCAGCACCACGTGAGGAAGAACATTTGCTCTTTTGATTTTTAGACATAAAGCTTAATGATGTCAGCTGGTAGAATGGAAGACCTACAGAACAAAAGTTCCCACCTACAGCCGCCTCCAGAGCGCCAGTATGGAGGTAGTCTACAGGAAAACTAGGAGGAGGTGGAACCACGCCAAGCTTTTGATTCATGTGTTTTCTTCTGAAGGTGGTTTAAAAAAAAAAAAAAAAAAAGGTGGCATGGAAATCACAGTTTATGCATTCTCTAACAATTCTGAAATTTTGTTACGTAACACTCACTTAGAAGATGTGATTCTCTAAAAGCTGAACTAGTCCTTGTATTGAGTGTGATCCTGGAATAGCAGATCCAGTATCCGGGGCGCCTCTGCAGCTTTTCACCTGTGCCATCGTCAGGGGCAAGCAAAGCCATCCATCACTGTGATAGACCGCATCACCTCTGGCTCCTAAACAGCCTCACCAGCGAAGGGACACTAGCATGTCCTCCTAGGGGCTCAAACCAGCCAACCTTCTGATCACACCTGGTGGTCCAATTCTTCATCATATGTATCTCCACTTAAGCAGACAAACCAGGAGATAGAATACCGTGGGAAAAGACAGTGTGGCTAAATTAAGAATAAAATATGTAGAAAGATGTGATCATATTTTTGTAATTCCTTTTCTGGTGCCAATTTAGTCATTAGAATCCCTATTATCTCCTGTTGGTATTCTCAGTCACACTTCAGTGTTACCATTGGAATTTTCATTCTCCAGGATAGGGAGACACGGCACAAATTAAATTAATCATAATGAAATATATAATGGCTTAGGAGCCAATGACCCCAAGTTCCAATCCCACAACTTCTACTGAAATGAAATAGAACTTTAGTCATTTTATTTTCTTACCTCTGTCCTGAGGTTTCCCCATTTGTAAATGACAGCGGTAAATACACCTGCCCTGCTTCTCTTGCAGGGGGTCGTTCATTACTGGTGTGGTGGCTTTTCGCCTGAGCATACCATCTGCATGGGTTAGTGGAGAGACCCCGGGTGAGCAGTATGTGTGCTTGATTTCTGCTCCCCCTCTGCTGGCCTGGCCGATCTAGGCAGTGACTCTGGCGCACTTTCTCTGTCTGTCCACTGGGGACGGTAATGAACAGCATTGCCGCCTGCAGCGTTCAGAGCTCCTTGAGCATACATCAGTTATTTCTGCAGATCAGGTTTTAAAGCAGCCAGAACCTCCATGGGAAAGAGCAGGACACACAGTACTTAACAAGAGAACTTAGCTAATTTGATCTGCCATTCGGTTGATTAACCAGCACTTGACACCAGAAGCAGCCTGTTCCTGCAACAGGTGACGGGGAGCGCTCTCATCAATATTTTATGCAAATGCTGGCTCAGTGGAAAGAGGAGAAAACTTTTCCCTCCCCATCATTTTTTTTTTTTTTTAAACAGCAGAAAAGTAATTTCTGGTGAACTGATGAGAATTCCCTATTGAAAAAAAAAAAAAAAAAAAAAAAAACATTTATTCTGAGAATTAAAGACAGACAGGAGTACGTTTTTCAATTAGCAGGACCCAGGGACTCCTGGCTACAGGGGCCTGCTCCTGAATCAGTGTATTTGTTAAAAGCACAATTCACTTTCATGCTACCATTTTGCTTTCATTAAAGAATTGCAGTTTTCAATCAAATATGAATAAGTGTCTCCCATTAGTGGCACTGCAGATAAAGGGCATTCAGCATTTGTGTTCTCAGTGTCTATTGCTGGCTCAGCTGTTCAAAAATAAATAAAAATTAAGCGAAACCAAAGCTTGGCTGCTCTGCCCAGTACCTTCCAACACAAAACCAGGGTATACCCTCTTCTGTGAGAAAGCTTTAAAATCAAACTCTTGGATCATGGTGAAGGAGAGGTGCAGCTGAGCGGTGCACTTTTCTTTCGCTGCTTTTGCCCAGTTCACCTAGGAGGACGAAGACTAAGGAGGCAGCGAGTCTAGCTGGCTCTTGCGGATTTCTGATATCTTTTCTTCCTGCCCCATCAGTAGTTTCAGGTCCTCTCTAAAAGGCGTTACACTGAGGTTTCACCAGGCTGGCTGACCCAGTACCCCCGCCGTGTCAGAGGGGCACACTGCCCTGACCCACAGCTGTGCCCATCAAGCCGTGCTATACTTCCGGTTAGAATCACTGCCTTTTTTTTTTTAAGTCGTGATCTACCTTTTGGCAAGAAAAAAATATATTTTTAAAATCCCATCTTACTCACCGGCCCCAGCCCGTGTTCCAGGGCAGATACCCTCAAGAAGTTGTCACAACTGTCCACGTGGAAAGCACCTAACACCTGCCAAGCACCTGGAGCCTCTCGAAGATCCGAGGACTCTTCCTGGCTCGAGGCAGCGTGGCCGTACCTCAGTATGCGTTTCTCCCTTTGGGGAAGTAACCCATTCCGCCATCCTCTCTAACTTGGAAAACACTGAGATGCGTTTCAAGCAACGTTAGGATGCTCAGCACCTTCTGCAGCGGCTGCTCAGCCTCTCCAGGCCTGCTTGTAGAGCCTTCATGGAGGAGAGGAGCAGGATGCCATGGGCCCACGTGTGGCAATTCAAATGAGGTGTTTGCTCTCAGAAGCAGAGCCTGAAGTTTCTAAGCCAAATGTACTTAAGCGACAGCATCACCCTAGCATGTTGATTTCCTAAAATACACACGCTCTCACTTACCCACAATCCCACAGTCAGCCTGGGCTATTTAGGTACAGGGCTTTCTGCACTGTGGCAGTTGAATATCTGTAACCCAGAGACAGTAAAGGAGTTTATTTCATTCCCCCCCCAGCCCCCACAAACTGTAGGCAAATCTTCACTGCCATTTAAGGTAACTTTCTGCTTGTTTAAGAATATTCCAGCTGTGTTTATGGTGTTCCAACATTCCCCTGCCAAAACCCTTGACAAATGAATTGGCAATATTTTCAGGGATGTTGGCAAGTACAGACTGGATTTAGCTATTAAATCCTCATTTGTTTTTGTCATATCTGATCAGAATACAGGGATGGGCTGTTGACTATTACAACATGTACACAGTGCTTGGGAGGCTGACGCAGGAGGACCACTTGAGCCTGGGAGTTCAAGACCCGCCTGGGCAAACACAGCGAGATGCTGTCTCAAAACAACAACAACAACAACAACCATGTACACAGAAATGAGTCCGTTTTCACACATTTTAGCTCTGCCCACACAGTACCTAAACATTCAGATGTGTAGGAACTTTGGCGACATGGCCCCCTTGACTCCTGACTGCATTTGCCATCTTGTTCCAAATACAGACTTCCCATCTTATCTCAGGGATGAGGTTTTGCCGGCTATGAAGTAGGTCCTAGTCTGTACCCAGCCTCGCATGCCATAAATGAGTGATGTCTCTGTGCCAGTTTTAAATAAAGTAACCCACCGTCAGAGATGGCGCATCAGAGTATTAATTCTTAGGCCCCAATATTATATTGATAGCGTATGTTTAATGTTGCCACTGCTAAAAAGATACAAGGAAGATTGGCTGCATTAGGGTCTTTCTTTGGTTGACTAGGGACTTCTAAAGAAGTTTTCCATAGGTTAAAATCTCCTTCGTCCTACACAAGTTAAGTTATACTTCTTTCACTTGAAGTATAGTGGGCGCTACACGTACTCTTTCAAAGAAGTAACAAAAGCAAAAGGCACTGGCATTGTTCATGCTTTTAAAAGTGCCTGTACTGTTTTTTTTTGTTTTTTGTTTTTTGTTTTTGGTGCAGAGCAAGAATTCATCTAGTTCTGAATTCTCTTGCAGCTGAGGAAAAAAAAGGTGGAACACCTGAGTTAAGATATCCTTTCAATTGAAATGACAAGTGTAATAGATGTGTTCCAAAATCTTCTCTGTGACAGGGCTACGTGCTTTCCTTAGATCTTGTCTGTAGGAGGAAATTACTTTGAGAAACCTTTCCCCAGTCAATCATTTATCTGTTTTAGCAGCAAGAAAGTAACCTCACTGAAATGAGAGGAATGCAGCTCCTTTCATTTCTGTTAGCAACCCCTAACATTCTGAAAGTAGAGATAATAAATAATTGCAAAGGTAAAATTGCAGGTTGGCCACATTTACAGTTGGATTTTTTTGCTACTATATACGTGGAGGTTTTCAGACAGTAATATACATGTTGTCTTACCAAAACTCCCTCCCCACCAAAAAAAGAAAGAAGTATGGCTTCATTATTTTGATACATGTGTATTTTTCCCCCAGCCTTGTTTTTCCGGCATTTTGGTCAGTAGCCAGAGAGCTGATTGCTGAGACCTGACACTGACCAGTCTAGAAGAGTTAAAGGCTGATCCTACAGGATCGGAGCATTTGTCCTGTAAAGACCCAGTGAACACCACTGCACCCAGAAGCTCATTTTTAGTAGAAAGGGGATAGTTATAACCCAAGTTATTTCTGTCCAACGGAAAGCCTTCTGGTTGGCTTGAGAGGAAAAGCCAGCAGCCAGTCTTAATGGTAGGGACTTATGTGATGCTGTGTTAGTATAAACCCATACATTGGAGGCCTAATCCTAAAGCCACCTGTGTGTTTTTAGTGATGTTGAAATGAAAACTAAAATCTATCCATAGGACTTACCGAGACCTCCTGTTTTAGAGAAATGGCAATGGTTAACAAGCTACCATTTCAAGAAATAGTTGACTCTGAAGTTGCTTGACTTCATCCAGAGTGACACAGAGTGACATTTTTCAACAGGCACTCCCACTTTATAAATGACACCATGATTTTTTTTCTCAAGTAATTGAACACAGCACACAATGCAGAACTTGACAGAAACCCCTAAGGAGACAGCTTCTCTCTTACTGCACCACTGCCAATAGAATTAAAAGGTTAAAGAAGTCCTCAGATGTGTCAGACCATTTTTTTTGGGTGGGGTAAAGATTGTATCATTGGAAGCATCAGTCAGGCTTTTAATTGCATGGTTGTTAGAGGAAAGGGCAATGATTTGAGTTTATAGAAACAGAATTGTATTGTTCTATTGGTAATACTTCTGAGGCCTGATTATTGCTGTATCTTTCTCACTAAGTTACTTTAAAAAGTTCTGCATATGTGAAATTGTGGCAAATGCATAAACTGTGCCTTATTGATTTTTGTTGACATTTTACATGTTTCTTACGCATTTTTACCCTCCATTTGGAAACTGTCAGCTTGGCACATGGTACTGGATAATAAGAGCAAATGAAGTGAATGCAGCAATCTTCCTGACTATTAAAAGCAGAATTAGCCCAGCCTCCGCTTGGTTTCAAATCTGTCTCCAGTAGATGATTTGCCTTTTCCTCCATTGTAGTTTCAAGACAAGAAGTGGAAAAATAAAAATCTCTTAGTGTTATTTCCTCTGTTAATAACGCCAGGGATGATGAAAATGCTTCTGAAGAGATGTTACTTGGAAACAGATGGTAAATTTGGATCATCTCAGAGCTCAGCATCAGTATGGAAGCCAGTGGAGGTCCTGTCCTCTGTCCCACACTTACATCATCTAGCTGCCTTAGAGAAGGCCACCAAATTGCTTTTATTGATGACAAAAGCTACAGTCAGTCTTAGTACAGCTAGAGTGTTCAGATAGTGAGCTTCATCTGCTGCCGTGCTGTCAGAGAACCACGAGACAGCACGGCATTCACCGTGAGCTGGACTTCATTCCGGCTTCTTCAAGCCAGCTTAGCCAGGAGGCGAATGTGAGATGAGTTTCTCATGTACTCCGAGTTTTTGTGTATTAAAAATTATAGCATGATGCAAAAAAAAAAAAAATGCATTGACTTATTTTCATGACTGGATGTCGTTGTGCTTTGGGGATAACAGGCAGGCATTGCTTTCTCTTATTGCTGTTTGATTAAAAGGTGCCACTACAGTATTGACTTGATAATCTCACCAGGTACTCGTGCAGAGCAAAAGAAGAAACTATATTTTATGGCTCACAAATTGATTTACATAAACCAAACAATCTGCTGGTTGTTTGAATGCAGAATGTTCTATTTTGCTTATTGGCCACAGGGGCAACAATCTCGCATTGTTGATGCCAGAATTCTGCTTTTCATGCATTCACTCTGAAATGACAATAGACTTCAGCCTCTCAGTGTTTAGATCTGCTTCATTTGGAAATCTTTTAAGTAGTAATAATAATGTTTTGAGGAAATTGAGTGGAACACTGAATTATTCTCTGATACCTAAGTTCAAACTGTGCAAGGCTGAAGAAGCTGAAAATCAATGCACTTTTAAAGTCATTAGAGATCATAAGTGAAATAAGTCTGTTGCTTTAGCTAACCTTTTAGTGTGCTGTGGTTTTATTATAAAATCAGCCTGAATCTGCATTAATTTCACAGTCTTTTTCTCTAAGAAGCCCAAGGGTGCATGATGAATAAAATGTAAATTTGAGAAGGCACTGTTTTTATTAGTGAAAAGGGCAATGAGCCATGTAGTTGAAGCAGTGACCTGCATGGTGGCCAAGGCTGGTACAAGAAGCAGGAACAGGCACTACAGAGTCTAGTTCTTTTACAGCACAAGAAAAAATAGGCACGGAAAGTTTCACTGGTCTTCCGGCAGATATTCAGAGAAATGTACATTGTCTAGTGTATGTTAGACTTAAGGTGAAATCTTTGATACGTTTCAGAAATTGACAAGTCTCAAAAGTCTTGAAGATTTTATGCAAATAAATGACAATGCACATTTTTTACATTTTATAGCAGTATTGAATATTCTCAGAGTAATGGAGCATTTGTTTTTATTAAAATTAAAAATTACTAAATAGTTTGTAACAGATTTGGTATGTTTGTATTTGCATAGCAACAATTTATATTTATACATACATATATATATATATATATTTTTTTTTTTTTAACTACCTGGAAGGGATTTAGATACATTTGTTTGCTGACATTTTGAGCTCTTGAAATTTATTTGCTAATTTGCCCTTGGTGTGAGGATTTTCTTATTTGCCCCTTCAAAAATCAATGATAAAATTTGAAATACAAAGCCTTCATGTGTGGATGCCCTCAGTAAAGATCACCAGTCAAGGAGAAAATGGAAAATAGCAACTTTTTATTTTAGAAAATGCAAACTAGATCTTGCTGATTTCAAACCCTGTGGCTAAAAACAGTACCCAACTTCCTCCCCTAGTTTCCATTTAAAAAATAAACTAATAAATAAATAAATCTTTCTGCTTTGGTCAGATTAGCAAGTCAGCACTGTGAATAAAAAGCAAAATAAGATAAAACCAAAGAGAGAAGTTGTTTTATTTTTATGTACTACTGAGAACAGTGTCGTCTTGTGGCAGTTCTCGTAGACTGTGTTGGTTTAACAAGCGTCCAACCCTTTTGTCTTGTTGTTTTTTGTCTTTCCTGCTCCCTGTCCCCTTGTTTCCCACAGGCTGTGCGTTTGTCACATTTTCTACAAGGGCAATGGCACAGAATGCAATCAAAGCCATGCATCAGTCTCAGACCATGGAGGTACTGTATCATCTGCCCTTTCTTTGTTTTCTTTGTGCAAATGATGGGGAATGGTAAAGCAATTCTCTCCTGTGTGGATTGTTCACATGACAATCACAGATGTAAACTTTCACCATCTCAGTTTTCATTCATTCATTCTCATTCTCTCCTCCTCTCTCTCTCTTTCTCTATGCATTTTTCCCCTAATGACTTGAAATGCATTTAGTAAAACCTTCCACTTGCTCTCCAGTTATCTCTTTTGAGCCTTTTATTGCAGTGGCACGGGTCCTGCGATGTAAAATTGTGAGCACTTGAAGCCAAGTGTCATTCCGGACCTAAAGGATCAAATACATTCCCCACCCCAGGGTCGGTGTGGATGAAACAGTAACAGCCTCCCACCCCAAATTACTGCTTGCCCTGTGCTAAGTCCCAGGGTTCGTTCTTTTATACAGGGTCAAGTTATCTTCCATCTAGTCAAACCGCCTTGTGGTTTTACATCAAGATTGTTGGAGAAAGTTAATATTTATCCCACTGCATTTAACATTGAAAATGCACATTTGGAAAATAGGATTTGTCTCCTTCCTAAAAAAAAAAAAAAAAAAAAAAAAAAGAGCAATAACAAAGAAACGTAATAAAGGCTCAAATGTGGTCTCCTAATGAGAGATCATGGCTTTAGGAGAAGGTAAATACCCTGGTGTGGATGTACACCTACGAACCTAGATAGATGGCTCTGTACTTTTAGTCTGTGATTTGGGTCATGGCCTTTCAGAATTTTGCACAAAAGCATTCCAAGAGTGATATGCCGTTACTTCTTCTGTATTGTCTGATAGAATCATTTGGGAGTGCATGTTCTGCTGTATTATGTATACTGTATCTTTGTGTATGGGTGATCTTTTCTGGAGGTGGCCTTGTGGTGTTATCTGAAGCCATGTTTTCACATTTTGAAAAAAGAATATTTTCAATTTTATTTAATATGCAAAAAACTTTTTTCTTGATTGAGCTTCTGTTTCCCCCCCCCCATTTTCTTGGGGTTTTATTTTTTGTTTGTTTTTGTTTGTTTTTTTGCAATGCTGCCTCTCCCAAAGCATGCTGGGAGCTAAGTGATCATTATACGTCATGTTTTGTGGCAACTCTTTTATAGTGAATCGAAAGGTGGGTGCAGAGGGGGGAAGGAGTGTGCATGGCATTGTCATTCAGTGTTTACTGTACTTTTCTGACTTGTGATACCAGCATTGCAAAGCCTATTGTCTTTTTCGAACATTGATCTTGACTTTGATATTCCTAACATCTCTTATATAATCACTGTGTTTTCCTTTCAGTGCAATGCATTTTTAAGACACTCACAACCCCCTACCTGACGGCAAGCTCAGGTGAAAATCGGGCATGATAGGAGATAATGAGCAGGATTTGGAATGTCTAGGAGGCTAATCTTGTCTGACACGCAGTTACACATGTGATGATGTTTTGCTTCCCTCTTTCTGTTACCGAGGCTGCTCCATTCCTGTGGATTAGCCTGATTTCCAGCCACATTTTAATCTTCAATTCAGTTTGAAGATTAAAATGAAAGTGCTGTTAGAAGCAAAAAAAAAAAAAGAAAAAAAGTCTTTACTTGTATTTATCTTCCATATACGCGTTTCATTCTTATTTTTATTTCTTGTAATTTAGTGATTTGTACCCAAATTGGTCTTACCTGAGATAATTTGGAACCTCAATTCTTCAATGTTTCTGTTAGAACCATTGTGATCCCCATCCCTTCCCTTGGAGCCCCCCAGTAATGCTCAGAGAGCCACGGAGAACCCACGGGAGACCATGTAACCCTGTGTTCCTGTAGGAGGAGGACTCAGGACCATAAAGCAGAACTGGGCATGAACCAGGCTGAGAAACAGTAGGTTCCCATCATGGAAAGAGTTGGTTTGACCACTGGGGCATATTTATTCCTAAGCCCTTGATCCTTTATTATTAATATCTCTATTATTTAAAAACCAAATTTGGTGTACTTGTTTTTAAAACCAGACATTCATGCTTACACAGAGGAGCCCTCTGACACTTAAATTTCTTGTTTAGTTTTTTTTTTTAATTGGCATTTAAATAGGAGGTTATACATTATGCAGTCACATTATAATTGTTTGACTAACGTTGTTTATTTTTTAGCTAATTACATTATTTCCAGGACTCTGGCATGTATCTTTAACCAAGATGTATTACCTAATTCACAATGACGTGAATGTTGAAAGAACAAGGTCTTAAAAACAATTAATTTTATATCGTGCCTTTTATTTCTCCACTTGCCTTCACTCTATCCCTGCCCTGTGTTTCATGGTTTAAAAAAATTATTTTTTAAGCTATAATCATTTGCCTAATTTTCTGCTTTTATATCATTTTTTACTATTTAAGGAAGAAAAAAATAGATGTTCTGTTAGGAGAGATGCTATAATTTGTTATGGAACAAATTTGATGGAACAATGACAACCCTTTTCCATGCAAAACCCCCTGTCTACGTAATCTTCAAAGTATGTTGCTCTCTTTTAAGTGAAGTACTGAAACATGGAACAGATACAGAAAAATGAATTACAAATTTTTTTTAAATGATGGAAATACTATTTTTGTGCAATTTGCTGACATTTAACATTCTGTACCATGACTCGGCCTACCAGAGCTGAAGACCAATAGGCTGGAAGTTTAACACTGACATATTCATCTCATTTTTCTCACTTTTTTTATTAACAGACATGATATCCTCATGTATTCAGAACTGCACCCCAATAACTACTCAAGGTGATAAGGAAAAAAATAAATGCGTTTGTTTTCCAGAAAAGAGCAACATGACCCAAAGGGAATGGAACAGAGAATCTCATTTAAATAGGAATATAACATTTCTGAGAGGAGAGAGAGAGAGAGAGGTCTATTATCATGCTGAGTTTCAATAAAAGTTTTTATTTTAATCACTTGGGTAGAATTACTTCTTTATACCTCAGCAAAATTGAACAGCTTTAATTGTGATGAAATGTGTAGGCAAGCCACACAAAGGAGAAGAAGAGGCTGGGGAAGGAGGTGGAGACTTCTGCTGAGTTACTTACCAAGTGGCAAATGTTGCAAAGGTGCTTTGGAAAGGAGGTCTTCGTGCTTGGAGTGTTAGGCGCTTATTATCCCTGATGATTTTATCTAGCTCAGAAGTGAATTCTGTGACCTTTGGCCATTTCTTTCTCACTACCCCTATTCCTTGCCTTTTAAAGGAAATTAAAACTGAAAGAAGCTGCTAGAATGGTGAGGTTCATTAGAGAAAGAAGCCAAGTGGACTCCTCCGTCTGCTGTTCACGGTCTATCTCCTTTGGCTAGAATGTGCTTCTGTTTTTTGGGTTTGCACCAGCTCCAGGGATGGCGGGTAGAGGGTAGAGCAGTTGTGCTGAGGGAAGAGGCCTCTCTGAAAACGTGAACGGTTACTTTGGAGAATGCCTGTGTTCTCTGAATATCTCCTGCCCTCATCCACATAACTAAAAGGAAGCCCTTCTCCCTATGATTGCTGGGTCGCTAGGATTTTCACAATCCCAAAGTTCACAGGTACATAACTGAAAATGGGAAAGAGTAAAAGATAAATGAATGAGAGACGTGGCCATTCCCATTACAGATTGTCCCCTTTGTCCTCTATCCATCTGTGGACACGGGCAGACACACAAAGCCAAGTCTGTCTTTAAGACGAGCAAACCGTGAAGCTCAATTAAAGAACCTTGGAAGGGTCTGTTGTCGGTAAGGAGGTCCTGCAAGGTTGAAGGAAGACACAGGAAGAGAGAAGGAGAGGCAGTTTCTAATCAGAGCAAGAAAGCAAGTGACTTCACCGACCACCAGATCCCCCAAAGAAACTACTGGCAGTATCTGGAATTTTCTGTTGATGGTACTGTTCAGAGAAGAAGGAGGAATATCAAACCATTTTAAACCATTTCAGCCCATTCCATGTGCTCCAGCCTAGTGCAGAAAGGTAGCTCCGGTGCTGAGTGTCGTGAGCGGATTCCGCCAGCCTGTAACCCCCTCTCCACTTTCCAATGTGTCTGACCACAGGGCTGCTCTTCACCTATCGTGGTGAAGTTTGCTGACACTCAGAAGGACAAAGAGCAAAGGCGCCTCCAGCAGCAGCTCGCTCAGCAGATGCAGCAGCTCAACACTGCCACCTGGGGGAACCTGACGGGGCTGGGCGGACTGACCCCGCAGTATCTGGCGGTAAGTGCTGGGCAATGCCAGTATGGTCCTCACCCGCGGAAACTCTGCAAACTGACTTTTCCCCTCCCTGTGCTGAGGCATTCGTTTTCAGTACATTTTCAATCTCGGGGAATTACTGAAATCAGCATTTATGCAGGATATTTTTCCAAGTTAGAATGATTCTGTTAAGAACAGGACTAATTGAATTCCTGCCTGATGTAGGCTGGGCAAAGTCCCACAGGTTAAACTTCTAACCCGTGTTTGAAAGGTACCCCAACGCCCTGAGTTAGAAGATATGCAGCTGATGTCATGAGAGGGAGGCCACTGGGCTGGCGGGCTCATCCTTGTCAAGTCAGGGTCTGCCGCAGCAGGACGTCAGGAGAAATCTCCCAGAACTTCTGTTCCACGATCCTGGCTTTTTGCAGTGGAACCGGGTTGATGAAATCAAGTGTTTCTTACTTCATCTATTTGAAACCAACAAAATTCTATTATTTCAAGCCCCAACAGACCCAGTTCTTTCAGCCATTCCTAACATCTCATGGTGTCTGAACTTGAGCTTTCTGGTTGTTTACTCATGCTCTCCGTTTCACTTTGTCGGTGTCTTTATTGAAACACAGTGACCAGAATTTAAGATAGTCCCCACAGCGAGATCCGACCAGGACAGAGTAGTAACCCCTAGTGTGGACTTGAGGGCGTCTGACTGGAGCTTGAGAGCAGCATTTGTAGTAACCATGGCAGATGCGGGCTGGAAGGCAGCCAGTACTCTAAAGATTTTATTTTTATTTGAATTACTGCTAAATTGTGCTCTTCTACCCCATTTTTCTGCTTTGGAACATAAGTGTTGGACTTCACATTTATTAATATAATTTCATATTATGGGTTTGGGCCTTTTATTCCAGCCTCAGAAGGTGTGTGTGTGTGTGTGTGTGTGTGTGTGTGTGTGTACCCTACGTGTATTGGGTCCTCATTCTGTCATTTTACATTTTAACTATCCCTCTTGGGATCCTGTCACCCATTAGCTTTACTTTGTAGCAGAAGTTGTGCTATTGCGTCAAATTATCCTCCCTATTCCACCTTGGAAGGTGAGATTATCCAGCTTGTAGGACAGATGAGGAAAGGGAGACTCAAAGACGTTACATAACACCACCCAGAATCAACCAGCTGCTAGTGGCCGATGGGGCTTCAGCCCTGCGTGTCCCGCTGGCTGGCCATACCGCCTCTTTGAGGACTCTGGGTGCTGCCGTGGGTCACCTTCATCTTTTTAGCTGCCCCACCCCCAGTGCCCAGTGGGGTCTGGTATATAATAACTCTTCAGTACATATTTGATGAATGAATGAGAAGCATCCTTTTCCTGTCTTCCTCTGTGCTGTTAGCAAAAGCGTTGGCTCAAGTTCCCATCACTTTCTGTCCATTTCTCTACCTTGTCCATGAAGATACCATGAGAGATTTTGTCAGCTGTCTTGCCAGAATCTATATTTGCTCTGCCATTTTTTTCTTGACTTATCAGTCTAAAAATTGCTTTTAAAAAAGAAATGAGTCTAGCTTGACATTTGTTTTCCACAAATGTGTGTTGCTCAGATGCTCACAGACGATTCTGTGTACTAGAATTTTTGTCCGAGGCTGACATCATGCTCATTCACCTTCCTGTACTTTCTAAGAGTCCGGCTTCCCCCATCCACCATTACTGAGACACATGTCCACTCTGTCTTCTAGCACATCCCCTGTGCCCCCACGGCTCACAGAAATCCCTGACACATGTTTCTGGGACCGCATCTGCAAATTGTTTGTGTACGTGAAGGAGAGTAAATCTCAGCCTCATTTATAGAAACATGTTGTTAGAAGCTCTCACTACGTTTCCCTCTGCCACGGGTGATTCTTTCTTGGCCATGTTTGTTCTACTCCCTTTCAGCTGAAAAGCCCTTTCTCTCAAAGAGCCCTTAGCTACCTTGAGTGGTAGATGCTGACCCTGGCTCACCAGAGGTTGGTTATCCATGGCAGTAATCCTGGGTGGTGGTTTAATGACACTCCAGGTATTTCCACTTACCTCAATAAGTGTTTTTAGCTCCTCTAAACATCTTCAAGGCTAGCTTAATTTTTTAAATTTCAAAACATTGAATATGAGGAGGACGTTGGAGTTGATAAGTGCAAGAGAATGAGAAACCCAACAGATGAAACCAAAATAAGGCCTTACTATTACAGTGGACAGTCCCTAGCTTTTCCCACCCCCTCTTCCCCGCTCTCTTCCTCTTTCTGTGTGTGTGAGAGTATGTGTGTGGGCAAGGAATGGAGAGGAATGACTCAACACAGACTTTTCTTGGTTTTAGTACCTGATAGTATGAAGTCCCGTAATAACATTGTACCTGAGGCTTGAGTTGAATCAGCCAAGGGTCCCCAACCCCTGGGCTGAGTACCGGTACCAGTCCACAGCCTGTTAGGAACCGGACTGCCCAGCAGGAGGGGAGCAGCAGGCCAGTGAGCATTACTGCCTGAGTCCCACCTCCCATCAGGTCAGCAGCAGCCTCAGAATCTCCTAGGAGCACGAACCTGTTCTAAAGTACACATGCCAAGGGGTCTAGGTTGCATGCTCCTTATGAGAATCTAATGCCCGATGAGGTGAGGTGGAGCAGTTTCATCTCAAAACCTTCCCCTCAACCCCTGGTCTGTGGGAAAATTGTCTTCCACGAAACTTGTCTCCGGTGCCAAAAAGGTTAGGGACTGCTGGAATCAGCCACTGATAATTCCACACTGCTTGGTGCTGTTACCTCAATTAGGATCCATTTTCAAGCCATATCCATGTGTAGGGTTTTTCATATCAAACTGGAAAGACCTGGACTTCCCCAGAGGAACAGTGCTCTAGCTTGTTTCACAGAGCCTCAAATCAATTCTGAAAGCTTTTTTTTTTTTTTTTTTTTTGAGACAGAGTCTCGCTCTGTTGCCCAGGTTGGAGTGCTGTGGCACCATCTTTGCTCACTGCAGCCTCCGTCTCCCAGGCTCAAGCAATTCTCATGCCTCAGCCTCCTAAGAAGCTGAGATTACAGGCATATGCAACCACACCTGGCTAATTTTTACTGGAGATGGGGTTTCGCCATCTTGGCCAGGCTAGTCTCGAACTCCTAACCTCAAGTGATCCCCCCCATCTTGGCCTCCCAAAGTCCTGGGATTACAGATGTGCGCCACCACACCTGGCTCTGAAAGCTGTTTTTAAAATAGTGAATTAATCTTGTTCTTCCTAAGTACATAGTGTAACAACAATATTTCAGTAATAAATGTGGTAAATCTGTGTTTCTGGTATCCATGTACATTTGAATATAGGAGATAACTGTATGCTTGGCGCCACTGCTAACTGTATCTGTACTGGTCTACCTTACCAAAAAGCAGATCCGTAAGTTCAGCCCAACACTCAGTCTTTCACCTAAGTTAACCTGCGGTTCAGCTGAGTTGGACAAGTCCAGCAGCACCCCAGGGGCTCCATGCCTTTATCTCATGGAACCCACTCATTCCGCATGGCAGGAAAAATACAGCCCTGAAAGCACTAGTGGAAAATGCAGACTTCCTCGCAGGTGTATTAATGTTTTTGAAGATTGACATTTACAGTGCGTGACTTCGACGCACATAGCACCAGATAGTTCTAAGTTTTGACGAGCTGTATGTTTCACTCTGCAGCGAGGCCTTTTAAAACAGCTGCCCATTTGCTTGGTCATGTAGTGGTGGCTGCAACTGTACAGCTGTGAATAGATGCATTCGTGTTCGTAGTTACCATGATGATCTTTATGTTGGCACCATGTGCCAACATAAAGTCAGTGAACCCACGTGCTTCTGATGAAGGATGAAGAAAGCTGAACGGTGCTGGAAAGTAGAAGAGAGGGAGGGAATGGACCCTGATTGACAGAGATGAGTTATGGTAACTGCTAGACTACAGAGAGAAATAATTAGTCACGCTATGTTGGTTTCAATAGATTTAACACCTGGTTGTTAAAAAGAGTAAATTGATTAATTGTTTTAAGGCAGCAGTGTTAGTGAGTTTCCCCGGTGTCTGTGTTTCTTAATAGAGATTAGACATGAATATGGATTTACAGCCCCAGCTCTGGGGACCTTCAGTCCATCAATAGGCAATAGCAGCCAACCCTGTAAATGCAAAGTAAACTGAATTTGTCCCCAGTTTAATGAGGGAGTTACTTTGCTCTCACCTTCTCCACCTAGCCCTGACTTTGTCCTTGTGCATTCATCCGCAGCTCCTGCAGCAGGCCACCTCCTCCAGCAACCTGGGTGCGTTCAGCGGCATTCAACAGATGGCAGGTAAGTCAGGAAGCACGCCTCTCTTTTTGACTATGCCATTGTCAGAATTTGGGGTTGGTTCCGAGGACAAAGAAGAAGCAGGGGAAGAGAACCAAGAATGGTGATCAGACTTGTTAGCTTTCTGTCTGGTGTTAACGTTAGAACCACCTGCTCTGAAGTGTCTCTGCTACCTCTTAGATTACCCACCCACCTTCACTGTGCATGACAGCTATAGAATGAAGGGGCTGAGAAATCCTGCTTGGCATCTATATCAACAAATGACTAGTCATTTGTTGTTTTTATAAATAAGATTGATTACTGGGGGCTTTCCATCCAGATTCCTATATCTAGGGCAGCCAAATGATTGACACCCCTCTAAAATTTTAATAACAGACAGTCAATAAAAATGTTCTGACCTCCGTAATGAAACCCAGGATTGCAGGCCTATCTTTGATGCGGTTTGCAGCCCCTTGATAACGACAGACAATTAACAGGGTGGCTTTTTTACTGTAGTGCCCCGGTTGACAGAATCGTGCATCAGAAGCTTTTATGTGAAAGTAGAATCTTTGTTCTCGAGAAAATCAAAGTGTGACTGCATTTGAAAGCCAGCTCGTTGAAGGATTCCTTCTTCTAATGAGCTGCGCCAGTAGTAACTGAGGTGCGGTGATTAGCGAAAGGTCACTCCTGCCGAGCCACCTTCCGTGCCGATTTCCCTACCTAACATGAGGCCAGGGAAGGCAGCAAGTGCAATAAATCAGAACACAGGTGCCCATTAACCTGCCGTGAGGAATGGTCAGAGAGCCTTTTCCTTGTTTCATTCCAAAAAGGTGGGGGGAGAGGGCAAGGAGAAGAACAGGTTTTTGGCATATTAGAACCAAGCATGGTTTGTTTTAACCGAGGACGCCCTGAATCAGTGCAATGAAACCTGCATGTGCAGAACGAAGCATTTTTTCTTTGTCACCATGAAAACTCCTTTTTTCCATACTGCTGTTTCTTTTTTTAAATATGTATCCTTGGGTTTTGTTTGTTTGTTTGTTTTTTCTTGTTTCACTTTGAATGAATCTGGAAAAACTTCCAAGGGGGCCTCTCCCTGGGTGTGGTGTGTGATTGGCAGCCCAGCCGTTGTGGCCCGCGGCTCCTGGAAACTCATCAGCTGACGGTCTTCCTTGACCCGCAGTAAAAACACTACTGAATTCATCGTTGAGCTTTAAATCCATCGGCACCACCACCTGGTTCCGTTGTAACATAGCTTTTGGATTATTAGAAATAACACATAACTTGAAATGATAGTTAAATCATTCAGCAGCGTCTTTATGAATATGGTTCGGGAAGCTGGCCTTGGAGCTAAGAATCACATTGAATGGCTAATTTATTTTTAATTCTATGAAAGGAGCTGGAGAGAGATAAGTAAAATATTGAGGGGATTTTCTGTGTTTTAAAAGAGAAAACCTCCGGATTGCAAGCTCAAAAATAAATGCTAAGATTTGTCACACTTTCAGCCCATGGGAGATTTGCTTTTCTCGCATGGTATGGACTCCCCGGGATCTGAAATTAGGGGCTTTCCTTAGAGGTGGCCTCAGGCTTTTCTACTCCCACAGTAGAATTATGCAGAGAAGGTCACTGGGTCCTGAGGCTGCTGCCGAGCGTGGTGTCCCGGGTGCACAGCGTGCCCTGTCATCTTTCATTAGGATATGTGTGCCTGTGCCGCACCAGCCGCAGGTCAGGATGCCAGCCCCTGCACGCTCTGCGTGCTCATTTGAAAACTGAGGGTATCTGGGAGTCACCTTACAAGGTGCCGAGGAGCAGATGGCTAATTTAAAGGCAATCCGTATGTGCTCTGAGCCTCCCGAATTACCAATTTCTTGAATCCTCAATGTGTGAAATTCAGCACACTAAGTCCACATAGGCTAGGAAATCAAACGCTGGACAGGCCATTCCCTACCGTCATGTGGAGTATTCAGAGTCTTCGGAATATTCACAGTCTTCAAGGTGTAGCTGTTGGCTCCGTGAAGAATACCTTGCATTTATAGGGATCGTCAGGTCTCCTCTTCCTGCGTATTTGAAGTATTATGGTTTGGAGTACTTTTTCCACCAGTGAAGAAAAGTTTATATGGCCTCTCCTACTCTCTTGTCTTGCCCCAGAAGTGGGGCTTACCTCTGCCCTTGCCATGAGTCTGTGCCCCTGTTATGGAGTGATCATGGTGAATGGGCGATAGAGGTTCCTTCCTGGGAGAAGCTTTCCCAGCTCCCCCAAATGTGAGAGGGGCGCCTCTCTCCCGAATTCCCCAGAGCCCTTTGTTTCCTTCCCTCTGCCCTCACCTCCCTGAATGCTTCAGGATACTCTGTGGATACTCTTCAGTGCTCCAGGAGAGCATGACCCAGTGGCCGGCAGACTCGGCTCTCACCCCTCTAAGAGCTGCTCATGAGTGTCCTCGAGTGGATGAGTGAATAGATTTCTAACTCAACAGACATAAATCCCCAGTGGAGCCTAAGTTAAATGCCCGGTTTTTAAATTAAGAAATATGACTTCAGCAATATGTATAGACCAAAGGAATGTTAAACTAATGATAGTATCTTTACAAATGAGTTGTTGAGGATTTGGGGATAGTTTGTATAACATAAAACAAAACAAATACAATAGAAAGCATATGGTAGTGGGATTGAAGAAACCCGAGAGGTTATTTATCCCAGACGCCACCTGATGTTACAGTGCTTACTGAGTGACTGATACTGTGTCCTACTTAGAGTGGGCGCATCAACAATTCACATGTAATTTTTCTGTATTACATGGACGTATATATAATGATCTCTGCATCTAAAATTCAAGCAGTCCAGCCTGGAATACTGTCACCAAAAAGCAAAAACCGATTTCAGAAACGAATAATATTTTGTTGTGAACAACCCTCAGAGCATCCCGGTGTGTCCTTAAGGAGATAAGGTTTATAGCTAGAGTGTAAAATGCCACATTTATATGGGTAAAACATTTGCAGTTTCAGGAGAAAATAAAACCAAAAAAAAAAGAGAAATTTGAGACGACTGGTTCCTAAGTAGTTGCATCAATAAAATTGAATGACACGTCAGCTATACTTTCTTTCCCAAAAAATCTTACCATTTTCCCCTCAAACTAAAAATAATTCAGGTGTGCTTTATGGTTTTTAGCAAAGAGAACCTTTACGAAATACGGAATTTAGAAGCAGAAAATGGATTAGGAACATACCTTGATAAACTGACGGCTTTTATATCTACTTTTTGTGCCTCCTTGGAGTTGGTTGGTTTTTCTTTTCCCTCTTAAAATTTATAATAAAAACTTGTCCATTTCTCACTCAGCAGTGATACTTGTTCCGTAAATTTCTGAAATCTCAGAAGCTTGGGGTCTGAGTTTGGGCTGAGAGCTTGGATTTTTCTTGAAAGAGAAAAGGAATAAGAGAAAGTGTCTTCTCTGCCTTTAATTTGTTTGTAACAACTATCAACTCCAAAGAGCATCACAGTAGAAAACCGAGGGGTAGTGTTTTACCATTTTGCTTTTAACAAAGCTCCTTTTACAAATCATGCAGCTATCCTCATAGCAAGCTGAGGCCATGACTACCACTTTGTTACTACATTACAATTGGAAAAAGGGAAGATGAAAAGGTTAAATGAGTAATGTGAGACCACAGCAGTAGTCAGTGACCTAACAAGGATTAGGATATAGAATTCCCTAATACACAACAACCTGATGAAGTAGGGACTCTAGCCCACTGCACGGTTGGGCAACTGAGGCTTAAAGAGGTTAGCAGACTTGTCCCAAGGCACTTAGCTAGTAGGTGGCAGGACCAAGCTTCAGGTCCAGTTCACCGATGCAAACCCAGGCTGGCAAACCGTGCTCTGTGCCTCAGCCCCTTCAGGTGTGTTTACGGCCCCCACACTGTTAGGAAGCACTTCAGAGACGGTTACAGGAAAGCCGCCTCCCTCCATCCTGGAAAACATCTCAAGTTTATCACAAGTGAGTTTTTCTTTGTTAGGGGGAATTTTTTTTTCTAGGATAAACAATTGTTACTAAACCAATTACAGAGGTTGTGAAGCTGCGGTGGAAGTGTCTTTTGATGAACAGGAGGAAATGCCTTCGTTTCCATTCTGATTCTGAGTAAAGCAAGTAGTAATTCCCTTCCAGAATATCTGGTCTAAGTTTTGAAGGTAACAATAGAATTGTAGAGTGCAAATATTTGCTTAAAACCGTGAAGCAGCTCTTCTTTCATCAACTTGAGATCTGTTCTCTTAGAAGACTGTCTTGGTGTCTGGCACAAGTGGAGAGGAGGGAAGACATTTGCAGAAACAGTGTATCAGAGGTCTGAGAATGTCAAATTGGAGGCGCTCCTGGAGTTGTGAAGCGTGCTTGGTACATCCACAAAGACCCACGCAGAACTTGGTTCCTCCCCAAGCTGAGTCTCCAGCAGTCCGCACTGCAGACGCTTCCTGCGAATGTGCTAATAGGCCTTATGAGAACATTCTATAACCACCCATCTGTCACTTTTTAACAGACCTGATTGGCAAGCACTTGTAACAACTGACATCTGTTCATGCTTATTGATATGCAGATTTATGGTAATTGCTATGAACAATAAGACACAAAATTACCTAAGGTGAACATTAAATTAAATTTTCATGCCCTTCTCCTTATAAATATTTTTTTTTTAATCTTAAATTTCAAGTAGGCATATTGCGCATCTGTTTGGTACATAATTTCTTCGTTTTGAGGAGGATTTTTTTCCCCAAGTATTGAATGAAAAGTTGAATCCCTGTATTCTCAACTTTCTTTGCCATCTTCATAGCCCGTTGTTAGAGTTCCTAAAACTTACTTAAATGTTTTTGCATGTTCAGTCACTGGATTATTGCCCCTGATTCGAGAGGTGCCCATCTGAGCAGCATACTTCATAAAGTCAAATGCGGTTTTTCTTCTCCGAGAGGAACTATTTGCCAAGCGTGTGCCCGTGCCTCTCCGTCTGGTACCCTTTCAGGATGAGCGTGTGGGAGAAAGTGTGACT